GGCTGGGATCAGAGTTGGGCTCAAGGCTGGGCTCAGGGCTGCTCCTGACTGCATTTTCCTGCTGTTTCAGAGGGCCTGGCAGTGGGAGTTGGATTCGGGGCCATTGGAAAATCCGAGTCTGCCACATTCCAAAGTGCCAGGTGAGTCCCCATCCTGCTCTTTGTGTTTGCCTTTGGAGCTTGGCTGTCCCACCTTGTCCCAGGCCAGGACAGGGGCTTGGAGATCCATGGATCCATGAAATTTGTCTGGAATCACGAGGGTGGCAAAGGGAGGGGAAGAAATTCCTGGTCCTGCTGCGTTTTCCTCACTCTGAGCTCTCCAGATGTGAGAGAAGGTTTTTGGTGTTGATTTTTCCGTGATTTTTCCTCTCTGGGATCGCTGGGGCTGGGGCAGCTGAGTGTCCCGGGGGTGCTGCTGGCTCTCAGGAGGGATTTTGGGGTTTTATCCCCCTGTTAAACATCCTGGGGGTGCTCAGCTCAGCACGGGCAGCTGTGGGGAGCTCCAGAGGAGAGGGCAGGGAAAAGGGATGGAGGGAAATTGGGGATGTGGGGATGAGGGGAATCCCAGCCAGGTGAATCCTTCAGGTGGGGATGAGTGAAATCTCAGGTGAATCCCTCAGGTAGAGATCAGTGAAATCCCAGCTGGGGGAATCCCTTTCCTTGGAGCTGGCAGCAGGAATGGAATGGTGGAATCTCCACCTTCCTCTTCCCAGTGCCTCTACCCTGGGTCTCCATGGCTCCCTGCAGGATTCCTTCATCTCCTCCTCCTCCTCCTCTTCCTCTTCCTCCTCCTGTCCCACCTGAGCTGGGAGCAGCCCTGGTTCTGCTCCCCATGGATCCCTGGCACAGGGAAATGTGGGATTTTCCCTAAAATCAGCATCCCCAGCATGTGGGAGCAGCTGCTGGGAATCCTCTGGTGGCTCTGTCCCCATTCCTGCCAAGCAGGGCCACAGGATTTTGGAATTGGTGGCAGGGAAGGCTCCCAGTCCTCCTGGCATTCCTGAGTCCTGGCATTCCTGAGTGAGTCCTGGCATTCCTGAGTCCTGGCATTCCTGAGTCCTGGCATTCCTGAGTGAGTCCTGGCATTCCTGAGTGAGTCCTGGCATTCCTGAGTCCTGGCAGTGCTGCCAGGAAAACCCTCCTGTGCTTCCCTGGGGCTGCTGGGACCTGGGGGGGATCATCCAGCTCCTCCCAACTCCGGGATTTTGGGTACTCAGGATGTTCCCTGCTCCTCCCAGCAGAGCTGGAACTGGGCTGGAGATATGGGAAAATGGGATAAATCTGGGATAAATCTGGGATAAATCTGGGATAAATCTGGAGAGGAGCTGCCGAGGCTTTGCAAGAGCTGCTGGCACCTCTTGGTGGCCGCTCTGCACATGGCACCTCCCTGCCCAGCCCTGGCTTTTCCTTGGAATTTGCAGCTGCTGTTATGGCTCAGTCACCTTGTTCCTGAGGAGAACGGGGTCAGGTTGGGTTTTAGGGGGAAATTCCTCCCTGGGAAGGGGGGGATTCCTGATCCCTGAAGGGTCCCAGGCCAGGCTGGAGCAGCCTGGGATGATGGATTGTGTCCCTGCCCATGGCAGGGGTGATCTTGGGGGTCCCATCCGACCCAAACCATTCCATGATTCCTGCTGAAGGATCTCTGGGGTGCCAGGGCTGCTTCTGGATCCATCCAGGCTGATTCTGGATCCATCCAGGCTGATTTTAGACCTCTCCAGGCTGTCCAGCCTCTTCTCTGGCCAGGCCCAAGCTGTGCCCCATCCCAAACCTTCCATTCCCAATTCCCTGGCACATCCCTGAGTGTGGGATCACATTGCCCCAGATCCCAGTGAGAAAATCAGGATTCTCCAGCTTTTCCCCACTGTGTTTCCCTAACCTTTGCACATGAAAGGCTCTCCACAAAGGCAGCTCAGGAGATGCTGGAACAAAAGGAGTTTTTTTTCCCCCTCAGCTGCTCTGGGGAGGCTGAGGAGGCAGAAGCAGCTGGTGCTTTCTCTGGATTTCCAAGGGTATTAATCATGGGAGATGAAAGGTGGCATCTGGAGCAGGAAAATCCCGATGCAAATGGAGAGGGGACAGCGTGGCTGGCACTGCCTGGGACTGGGAAATCCTTTGGGAATCTCCAGGAGGATTCGAGGCAGCTCCTTGGTGTTCTGGGGGTTGGGGAAAAGAGCTGGAATTCTGTTTCATGTGGGAGTTATTGCTGGCTCTGGGCACATCCAAAAGGAAAATCGCTGCTTGGACACAGCTCTGTGAGTGGGGATCCCCCTCACACCCATTCCTGTGGAACTGAAATGTTCATGGAGCAGCTCCCTGACTCAGTTTCCCTCTTCCATTCCACTTTTCCTTCTCCTGGCTGTGACTGAGCCCTGCTGAGCCTCTCAGGAAGGCTCATCCTGCAAACCTGGGCCTCACAGGGAACAATTCCTCCCCAATATCCTCTCTGGATGAGGTGAATGCCCTGTTCCTCATCCTTGCAGGGATCCCAAAGGGCTTTTCCAGGGAATTTTCCCTGTGCTGTCCAAGGGGGATGTGAGCAGAGCAGGTGCAGCCCCACAGTGATGATCCCAGTCAGGGACACATCCCAGGATCTGCTGAAACCCCAAAAATGAGGATTGGGAAGAAGAAAATCTCACCTTTACCACAGCTGGGGTTTTGATGTGCTGGATCAGCTCAGCCATCCTGAGAATCCCTGGGATTCTCCATCCTGCCCATTCCCAGCTCATCCATGATCCCAGGATTCTCATCCATGATCCCAGGATTCTCATCTTGGCTCATCCAGGATCCTGGGATTCCCCCTCCTGCCCATCTCTCGGCTCATCCATGATCCTGGAATTCCCGGGATTCCCCCTCCTGCCCATTCCCGGCTCATCCCGGCCTTTCCCGTTTTCCTGCGCGTTTCTTTGCTGCCCCCGGGTGTGCAGGCTCTGCTCCTGCGAGCGGGATCCTCCGGGGGCTGGAGCCCGATCCTGGATTTCCATCCGTGGGGAGAAGGCACAGAGAGACTGTGCCAGGGCACAGGGAATGGGAACGGGAATGGGAACAGCAATGGGAATGGGGATAGGAAGGGGATGGGAACGGGAATGAGAACAGGAAGGGAATGGGAACAGGAATGGGAACGGGAATAGGAATGGGAACAGGAATAGGAATGGGAACAGGAATAGGAATGGGAACAGGAATAGGAATTGTTCCCCACTGCCAGAGCCAGGGCTGGGTGGGATATTGAGAAGGAATTCCCAGATGATGGAATGGGATGGAATTCCCAGAGAAGCCGTGGCTGCCCCATCCCTGGAAGTGTCCCAGGGCAGCTGGGATGGGGTTTGGAGCTGGCATGGTGCCAGGTGCCCCTTTTGGGGCGTGTCCCGTGGGGGCTGAGCTGTTCCTCACCCCCAGGCAGGAGCATCCCTCACTGCTGTGGGGCAGGGATGGGAATACTGGGAATTTCCACGGGGTGGAAACGGCAGCTCAGGACAAAAAGTGCTGTGGGGACAGGAGAGGAGGCAGTGCCAGGGCTGTGCCAGGGCTGTGCCAGGGCTGTGCCAGGGCTGTGCCAGGGCAAGGCGGGTGTGCCCAGGAGGGGAAGGTTCCCTCCAGATGGGAATGGGGAAGGCTGGAGCTGCTCCTGGCCGCCTTCCAGGCAGGAAGGTGAGCAGGAGGGCAGCCGTGGTTTAGAAAAGCTGCAGTGCCTGCCCTGGAATACGGGGAGGGATCCAGCCCAGCCCTGCCCTGCCCAGCCCAGCCCAGCCCAGCCCAGCCCAGCCCTGTCCAGCCCAGCCCAGCCCAGCCCAGCCCTGCCCTCCTTGGTGGCTGCTCTGATGGGAACCAGATGGGGCTGGAGCTGCTGGGAACAGCGGGGGCGGGATGGGGACAAGGGGACAGCGAGGGGACAGACACAGGACAGACACAGGACAGGAAGGGGACAGGACAGGGGACACACAGGGGACAGGCAGGGCTGTCTGACCCTGCTCCCCTTTGCTTTCCCAAAGCTGGATGGAGCAGGAGAGGGCCCAGGAATTCCTCCTCCCCAGCAGGGGCTGGATACCTGCACCTCATAAATCCCAAATCCTAAATCCCAAATCCTGAAATCTGCACCTCCCAAATCCTGCATCTACATGTCCCAAATTCTGATCCTACACCTCCCAAATTCTGATCTTACACCTCTCAAATCCTGATCCTACACCTCCCAAATCCTGATCCTACACCTCCCAAATCCTGATCCTACACCTCCCAAATTCTGATCCTACACCTTTCAAATCCTAAATCCCAAATCCCCCCGGAGCTCTTTGCTCTCTGCAGGAGCTCATCCCCGTGCTGCAAAAATCCAAATCCATTTTCTTACGGAGCGTTGCTGCTTCCTAAGAATTTATTTATTTTTTTTTTTCTGTCAAGGATAAATTTGCCATAAAATTAATTTCCTCGGGCAGGATTGCAGGAACTCAGGAGTGTGCCTGGGTTGTGCTGCAGAAAAAACTGGAAAAAAAAGCTCTGTGCCTGGGAATTTGCTTTTAACAGGAGAAAGATTTGGGAATGTGTCTGAGGAGGAGGAGGAGGGTGTGTGAGCAGTGCCTGCACCTTGGGGCAGGAAAAGGGAATCTGGTGCCCAATTAACTTGGATTTCTCTGCCAAAATCTGTTGGATTTTCCCTGGCTCCAGCAGGAATCACAGCTCTGTGCTTCCAGCAGGTGGGATGGATGTCCCTGCACCCCTGGCTGATTCTTTTTCCGTGGTTTTGCTCTGGCTGAATTTTCCAGCTGGGATGTGAAGGCTCCAGGGATGCTTTTCCAATGGGAATATCTCCATGTGGGTGCAGCTCCCAGTGCCCCATCCCGCAGCTTTGGGGTTATTTTAGAATCCCTTGTGGGTCTAATTTGTAATATTTGATCAAAGGTTGTTGTTAAGGCTGGAAAATCGAGCTTGGGGAATGCCCAAACCAGGATTTTCAGCATTTTTTTGTTTGGATTTTGGGAATCTCACGTGGCATTGGTGCTCCAGGGTCCTGGGGCACCTTCCCTGCTTCCCTACTCCCACCCCAAATAAAGCTGGAGCAGGGCCTGAATCTTCCAGGGAATAACTTGGCTGCTTGCAGGCAAAAAAAAAAAAAAATCCCTGCAAGTGTGAGTCAGCCTGAAGGATGGGGATAGAACAGGGATGGATTTCCTGCACTCCCCCTGCACAAAAGCACGTGGAGTTTTTATTTTCCAGCCCATGAAGCTCCTGTGGGTGGAATGCAGAGGTGGCTGGGATGACAATTCCC